CTCTCCATGCCATGGTTTGTCAGGATTTGATCTTAGTGACAATAAGTGAACTTTTATAGTGTGGTAGGTTCAATCGTTTTTCTAATATTTTTCCTTCAATTCATATTATTTATATGTAATTTATATCACTATTTAACTTTGATATCAATTGCGTCACATTTATTTAAAAATGGGTCTTTTCATAATATTAGTTTTACAGCTCAAATGTATATATATATATAGATATAATTATAAATTCGGTAGCTTTGCTTAGAGCCAAGGAGACAATCTGCTCCCACCTTCTCGTGTAGAAGGATTGTCACCCTTAGCAAATTAAGATGCAATTTCCCCACCAATTTTGCCAAGAATGTTAACGCTCTTGATAATTGAAGTCTAAATAACCAGTAACTGTTGAAATTTTACTATATGATCACCCGTCATGGTAGCCTAGTGGTAGAGCGTTCGCTTCGTGATCGAGAGGCCCGATTCGAGTCTCATTCATGGCGCCGCGTCGTACCTAAGATGTAAACATAGGTAGCAACTGTTCCTTCGTCAAGCACTTGGCACTAGAAGTGAAAGTCACAGGTCTTTCGGATATGACCTTAAAAACATAGGTTCCGTGTCACGGTAGGCGTTAACACAATAAAGAAACCTCACTGCTCAATGGCCCTGAGTGCCAAGTATAGGTCTAAATTTGAAGCCATTCACCGGCATTCGGTATCTCCATATGAGTGAAAGATTCTCAAATAGGACATAAAACAGTACACAATCAATCAATCTAATATATGATCATGATAAAACATACGGTATTGTATGAATAGCATATAAAAAAGTCAAAGTTACATCAGTAGTGTGACAAATTGACAATTCTTAAATATGAAAGAACTATGGAGAATAAGTATCAATCAGTGTCCATCCATCGAGATCAGTTCCCAGATCTAACATTTGATCACTTCATAGACCAGGCTGAATCTTTCATTAGTCTAGGCTTAATATTGGACAGTAAAATGGTCTGTGGTTAAAGCATACTGCAATTCTGTGCATGTTACGCTGTGTTACAATGACTATCATGGTTATTATGCATACAGAGACACATGAACAAGTAATTCTGGTCATCATATTTTATGTTTGGTGTAACTATACATAATATACATGTATAATCTTAATGTACGTAGCATATTGCATAGGTTGGAGGTCTCGAAAAGGTCAGTTTTAAACATAAATGATATGTTCATACTTAGGCCTAACTCTCTCTCTTGCATTCTTTGACAAAAGTTTTCTCTTTTAATACTGTCATTTGTTTTACATGTAATTTTAATTGGCTCTTAAAAATCGCATTATTGCATTCCAATTTTCTTAGAGGATGACAGATACCTTTTTGTTAAACTTGCTATAAAAAAAATTCTGAGTACAAATATGTACATTTACATAAGATCTACTTCAAATAAAAAAATGTATAGGACAGTTAAGAATCTTTATTTCTTTATATGAATGAAAATGAAACGGTGCAAAATTTATTTCTAAATGTACAAATCACATTTAAAACTAGTTCAATTTTACGCAGCCATACCGCAGAATACGACATGTATGATAATTAAACTGAATTTCGTATGATTGCAGTCAAGCTTTCATTATTTGTTTAGGCATTATTGATAATCAAGCATGATGAATATGAATTATTCAACAATATCATTTATGAATGGAAATTGCCCCTGTGCGACCAGGATGAAAGATTTAGGAGTTGAAGTTTTGGGTCGTAATAATTAGATACTTTTTTTTCAATTTTTTTTTTCAGCTATTAATGGGCGCATAAATGACCTTGCAATGATATCAATTGAGGAAGCAATTAGTTTCATAAGTCTGTAACTCCTGTGGGATATCTAATATTTACTTCATATTCTTTTGAGGATGCCAATGCTTTATTGTCACAAAATTGCCAAAATGTATGAATTTCTCTTCCATTAGAGAGAGTTAAAAGCGAACTCCAGACTGTACGTGGCTCGAGACATTTATGGCCTATCTTGTACATGTATGCAACATAAAATATGTATCTGTAGTCTTAGTATAAATACAAAATTTTAGTTCATTTTATGCGACCTTGCCCTCTCTTGTGCAAATTTACATACAGACATCTACCTCTCCAAATTCCCATTTTCTCACCTATTTTTAGCTTTTTACCATTTAAGAACTTTTTACTTATATACCCGTATCTACCCATTGATAACGCTGTTTGCTGATTGGTCCTTTTGTGTGTACAGATTGAGATTATCTTGTTTACACCTCATTATGATCTTTCTATGTATAGCTGTACGGAATATTTCCGTATCCTATGTCCCAGTTACGTCTCTATGATTCGGAGGGCCAAACCTTCATATGTATTACCCTCACAATCAGTGTCTTGTGGTTGTCATTCCTGGGTTTAGTTGGAGACCTGGATATGTGCATGTGTAATACAAAGATTGTGGACTTGAATATATGTATACATTGTACTGCTTTTTTTCCTTATCCTACCTTCAATGCAAACATTACATAGATCTTTTCATATCGTAATCGTATCGTAAGTTTCTTTACAGTTCTGGGGTTAGAGGAAATCTGAAAAAAAGTTAATAGAAAAGTCAAGCTCAGAAGTGCAATTGAACAATACATAAATGTTAAGAATATGGCGAATGTCATATACCTCTTTCAAATCCGAGGTGGGATCAAGTGCCACTCAGGGGAGTATAGCATCCCCTATCACAATTGCTGCAACATATTACCTGTGAATGTTTTTTTTTACTTCTCTACAATTCATGACTTTCACATTTATCAAAAGGAGTATAGTTTCTTATAACCTATTTACATTAATTACTAAAAACTTTAATTTGTGGATTGATTTTGAAGGAATTTCATTTTTTAGTGATTCAAATACCTTTTTATTAATTGCATTATTTAACATTTTAATGTTGAATTTGGCAGGATTTTAAACACCATCCTTTTAATTAGCAAATTAACTAAGAAAGAAAATTTATGATCCTCCCCTCAGATTTTCCCAGCTGTTACTCTTCATCCATTTAGGTTTACAAACTTGCAGTTTCCACCTGTTGGCCCATAAAATACCTGGCCGTTTATTTCAGGATCAATATTTAGAGTCTGGTGTGTGAATATAAATTTGTATACCCCTCCATAACAGAATGCAGGTAAATGACAGGTGTGACTCATCATGCTTGATCACTGACCATCAGTTTAAAAGTGGCTGCTGAACAGCTTAAGGTCTCATCTGCCAGATTTGTCTCAGTTTTCTAACTTCTATGCTGAAGAGCTAATTTATTAATATGGAGCAATATTAAGTGTCAGAGGAGCTAACGTAATAATTAGAGGTGCAGTAATTTAAAAATGTAATGGGACATTTGAATAAAGCTCAAGTTGAAATGTCTGTAAAGAATCGGGATGCAGGTAACACATAAAAGCATGACTGCGCACTGCTTAAAGAATTTTATATTACCATTACAGGCTTAGTTTGGACTTTCAGTAAGGCGTGGCATTCTCGACGTTACCTAATTAGCTTCTGAAATTTACACAGCTTCCCATCACTGTTGAAATATACATGTGATAGAGATGCGGTCGAATGTAGTAAATAGCCAATTGAAAGTTCTCTCACGACACAGAGGTGGGGCATAAGTCGTCTCATCGTTATCAACAACAATTTAAAGTTCCTGATGTTATTAATTTCGTAACCAATGAGAATCTACTAGTATTCGCCTTTACGTAGCGCCGAGAAAGTCACGCCCTACTGAAAGTCCAAAGATAGGGTAAAAAACTCATATCTGTGGGCTGTTCAGTTGTTGGTTCAGAAATACTTGACTTCTGACTAAATTAAGGAAAACTTTTCAATGCATGGTTTTTGGCACCCCACCCATATTTTGCTTTTTGAAGAAAAAATTCCTCCAGATTAATCTGAATATATTTAAATGTTGATTTTTATACTCTCATCCACTGACCCAGATCTGACTTGGGGTAGCCTCGGTGACACCCTACTGTCAGTCTCTCTTTGTACTGGTCAGTTGAAAGCATTATAATATCCCAAGCACCCCATGGATCAGTGGAGAATTTAAAATGAGGACTTTTGTCATGAAGTGAAATGGACCGTAAGTTTAAACATTATGGGGTGGAATTAACCTTAAGATTTGGTAAGGTGTGACCAAAATGACCACGTATATATCACTGTTAAATTACATGTCTGTTTGTACACAAATTGGGGTCAGGGGGTCATATGGTCTTTTTTTTAAAAAAAGTTTGCATAAGTGTAGGTGATCCAGGTATTATAAGAAAGTAAAGGAAAATGTTAAACAAATCGCTATATTAGGAGTGTTTAGTTAAGAACTTTCAGAGATATATTGACTTTAGAACTTCAGTAAGGAAAAAATGTTTGAAATTTACATGATTAGAAATCAATCAGGTAGAAAAAGTGTTTTTTTGAATTTGACAAAACTTAGTCGTACATGTATATGAATTCAAGAGGAATGCCTGTATGTGGTCTGTTTTTATGGCATAAACTGAATAATTAATCTTTATTTTCCCCCTGTCTTCCTTATTCTTACTGCACTTTAAATGAGATAGATAATTTACTGCCACATTGTAACATGGCTAAGAACAGGTAGGGAAGTAAACTTCTTTAGCTTGAAAAAAAAAATAAACAGCTCACTGGATTATAAAAAGTTTATCCTTTTCTTGAAAAGAAGAAAAAAAATCTGTATGTGTTTCTTTAGGAGAGGATAATAATATAAACATTTTCGATACACTGACGGCCGTCAGGATTCCGCGATGATAAATGAGGTGGATTTATTTAGATATCAAAGGCCGGGGGTGTGGCATTGTGTTGACACCTGAAAAACGAGTTCGCTCATTGTACCTGCGTTTTTTCCAATCTTCCCTCTATTCTCTATGCATATAAGCACCGGTCTGTGACTTCATGCCTTTCGACTGGCTGAAGATTTTTTTACCTTTTTGATCTTTCGTGTGAGTGGATTTTTCTTTGGGCTTGGGACGTAGCAATAAGGAGAAAATAGAATATTGAGGCCAAGAAGTTTATCTATTTCGGATGTGGATTACTTACTAGATTCGAGATTTATTTATTAAGTAAATATCTGGGTTGAACGGAGTGGAATATCTACCCTGAACTTAACATCCAAGGAAATGTTTAATTTGTGCTGATATATTTGTTTATTCGCCTCTGGAACAGATTTCTGTGACATTATTGACTTTCTCAGACTCAGTCAATTAAATTCACTCTCAACTTTGGTAAGTTATGAATGGTCTTTTTTAGTCTTATTGATTTTTCTGGCCTATTTTGATTATTTAATAAGGTCATCTTCCTGTGTTAAGAAATATTATTTGGTCTTTTACATTATAGAGTCAAATATATCATTTGAATATTAATTACTGGTATGATGATTCTAATTCACCTCTAAATGTCGACACTTATTTTGATGCTCTTGCTATATAGAGAGTGGCTTTCATATTGTTATTAAATAGAGGATGAAACAAAAAAAAAGTTTAGGAATTCATATATTGCATCTGATATATTAATTCTCTCTCTCATTTTCTCTGACAAATACAGTGTGCTTTTGGTAGTTATTGCTCATTGGTTTTCCTTTTTATTTCCATCAATCAATGTTATGACAATAAAAAAAAGAATCTTAAAACATACATCTGTGTATATTGGTGAAAGTTTTATACATGTATTCATATTCAATGTATATTTTATGATCTTGTCAGACATTTATCATCAAGTTTATATTGGAAAGGGATTAACTCCCTTGTTGTGGGGGATTATGGGTCTAGTTTTTTGGTCTCCAAATATTGACTATTGAGAAAGAAAAAAAGAATAAAAAGCTCTTTGTTTTTATTGCAAAGTTCATAGTCCTGATGTTTAAAAAGCTTTGATTCATGAATTCAAAAGGGATGTGTCTGTTTCTAATATTTTTAAAGGTTTAAAGATTTCAGGATTTGTATTGAACCAAAGAAAAGGTACAGCACATGCTTTAAAGTTTTAGTCATTTTAAGTTTAGTCACATGCATTAAACCCATGATAATGACTGTTAATTTTAAAAGATAGATTAGAAAAATGATTGCCCTTGAAGAAAATTAAAAGATTTTTCATCAAAAGTGTGATCATGAGTCAACCAGATAGACTTGAAAATGTATTAGCACTGAGATATGAAAGATTTCATATAAAAATTGTCAAATGTTCCATGAAAGTTCATGCTTTGATTAACTTTGGAAATCACCCAAGCTTATGAGCATTGCACTGTGGCCATGCATACTTCATTGCTTTTTGAGCTTCAATGCAGACTCTGAAAAACGGAATTTATCAAAATGCTTCTTGATTTCTTACGAAAATTTCAAAAGTCATTGGAGCACACTGGTGATTCAAACATCACTTTGTTCTATTGGGTAATGAAGTGTTTCGATGATATCATGGGTCATGGAATCTTTTTTGGTTCCTTATTTTATTTTATGGGTGATATATTGAGGTAATGGGAAATTATCATGCATGCATGCAGGCTCTTAGTTATTTGTTCTCTATAAACAAATGCATTGAAAAATTCTAAACATTACATGCAGTCTTGGATAACAGTAAAACCTGCTTATATTGAACTCAGATGCTTACAGCATCTCCTGACTCATTTATATCTATAGTGAACTTAACTGATATAATGTCAAATTACATTGCAAGCTTATAACAAAATTGGTCGCCTGCGTGGCGCAGTGGTTAGAGCATCTGCTCTAGAGGCGCGAAGTAAGGAGTTGATCCTTATGTCGCGAATCCCACTGTGGGAGACCGGTCTTTCGGATGAGACCGTGTAAACCGAGGTCCCGTGTCGCAGAAGATGCTGGCATGAGAAAGATCCCTCCCTGCGCAATGGCCCTGAGTGTCGAGTATAGGACAAAATTTGCAGCTCTCCACCGGCAAGTGGTGGTGTCTCCAAATGAGTGAAAAATTCTCGAGTGGGACATTAAACAATATACAATCAATCAATCAATATAACAAAATAAAATTGCATGCCCATCCAAGGCACTTTGTTATAAGTGAATGATTTTACTATATATGGATTAAAATATCATATGCAAATACATTTTTGCAATGAAATTTTACAGCACACTTCAATAATGGCCAAAAAAAGGTTCCTTATATCAATGTTGACATTCCTGGTTGTTGTAGAAACCCATTTATAACCATAAAAGCTTTACTTGGACTTCACATGGTGAATATGAAGTGTTTGATTAATTGCACCATTCAGATTCATTGATATGCATTGATCAGTGCATTTATTAGTCTATTTCTGTAGAGGATTTTTTGGCTATGCATTCAGAACATGTCAGGATCTGTCAATTGACAATTTTAACATTCAGTAGATAATAAAACAACTATCTGCAAGGATTTTTTATTCATAGTTAAATTAAAGGTTATAGTAAATGAATTTTTGGAGCTGCATGGCTATTACAGATGGAGAGTTCATAATACTTAAAATATAGGCCCACTATGCAGTACTTTTTTTGAGTAAAATGAAATTTAAAGATCGATATACATGGAAATTTTTGTACCCACACATAAAAGGTCAGAACACAGCAACTGACTAAAATCTCAAAAAATCTATAATATGTGAAGACGTCATGAATCATGGACCCTTGGAAATTCCAGTGGTGGGATCAGATGCCTCGAAGGAGGAAGCATTCCCTGCTTGTGCATTATAGACAAATTTAAAATAGGGCATAATTGTTTAGAAATTTGAAAAAAAGAGTCAATGATGAAATAACCAATTTATACAGTATATAATACAGTAAAACTTGTTTAGTACAAACAGGGATATTGCGAATTCACGGATATGGAAGTTATCTTGGATCCTCATGATGTTACATAAATTTAATAAATTCCTTACATAGATTTACAGATATAGGGAAGTAACTTTACAGGTCCCATCAGTGACTTCGTTTTAACCGAGTGTTACTGTATATAATGATAGATGTGAACAAACAATCATTGTAAAATGAAAGTCTATTCTGTTGATGGAACTCAGCTGACATTTCAGAGCTGTGGATCTTTACCTGTTTGCCTGTTATATACATAAATCTTTTTATAAAAGCATCGGTGACATATCAAAGCTTTGTGAAGCCAAATCAAAAGAGGGGACTTTAATGCCCTAGCTGTTGCAAATTATCCTACAAGACATATTTAATGTATTTTACTTATGGTTTTTGGGTCAGAGTGTCATTATAAATGTGTATAATAAATCTATACATGCAATGCGTTAAACATCTTAATTTTGAAAACGACTGTCAGTTTGAAAACTTCATAGGACATGTATTTATTCATAAAAAAAAATGTTATTCTACCTGGCTCATATAATGCATCGTTTATTAAACAAATATTACTGAACTGGAAGCAATGTTTGTTTTTGGGGTGCTGTGCGGTATATTTATGAGTATTAATTTGTATACAGGGCATACAGCCTGGAATTGCCTAGCTGGCTGGATTATATTCATACAGGCCTCACTGTGTCGACTATAAATATTGTACAAATTATGGAATGGATATTAATCTTTACAATATTCAGATGATATTTACTGGTACATTAATGAAGTACAAGCTATGGAAGTCAAAAATTAGCCTACTGTTTCTGAAAAAGTGAAAGCACTGTCAGAAATACAATCCTCATGCATCTCCCATCTTTACCCCCCTCCCCCCCTCCTCCATTCCTAATCTCTTTTTTATTGACATTACAAAATTTCAAAGTTGCAAAGTACATTTGTGTACTGTATAATTCAGTTATATAAATTTCATGGCAGCATTTTTGAATATAAATCAGCTGTTAAATTTGAATCTTTAAGTGTGTTCACCTAGTACTAAATCATTAATATATTGGAAAACCTTACAGTCATTCCTGATTTTAAAGACTTAAATGTTTAAATTTAAAAAAATTAAATTGATCATAAAATGCCCCTGTTTGAACTTTAAATAAGGTACACATAATTGCAATGTGTACTTTTCTTTTGGACGGGAAATCCCTTTTATCATTCTTTATCTATGACTATTAACTTGATCCACACCTACCAGCTATAGTTCACAGACCTCTAAATATGGTTATGTAAAACGTCATAAGATTTCTCAATGAATTGAACAATCTCAATTAATATTTAAACTTTGCGGGGTTTGACCCCACTGCTTGACTTCTTTATGTCAATAAACTGGTTCCTGATTGACTCCTACAATTTTTACCCGATTTGGTATTGATCATTGACTGATCGTTGACCCTTAATTAACGACCTGACATAATTAAGATTATTTAACACTGATGTAATCCCTATATAACCCAGGAAAGACCATTTTAAAATCTCTTATATCGCCAAAACTCTGTCACTTAAATTGTCAGTCGAAAAACGTTTTCAGTTTGTGGACAAAAATTTATTTGGTAACATTGTTGTGGTCTCGTAAATAATGTGTGTGTTTCTTTATGTTTTATGTCAAATATTTCTCTTTTAAAATTAATTGTTATTAAGAACTTTTAATTCTTGTCGTGTGACATATACCAGGACCAAGGGAATAAATATGGAGTTTTTATTGTATGATTTCACTCGTTGATTTTGAGAATGACAAGGACATTTAATGGGTAAGTTTGTTGAATGGCTAATTAGGTCCCTATAAATTGATTATTTTAAATAATTAGGAATTCAGAATTCATGCAGTCTTGTTATTTTGTCCTTTGAAGTTTATGTACATTTACATGTTTCCATTGGTGTACTGGAATGAAACGAGGCTGATTGGCTTAATTAATATACATTTGGTTTTTAATTTATACCATTGAATTTGAAGTGTTATATTAATCGATCACCATTCAGCATTGAATTGACTGTACAATTAAATCATGAAGAATAAGTACAGATTTCATAAATTTACCTCAATGAACATGATGAAGTAGCAAAAATTTCGACATTCACGTACACTCCAATCTTTTCCTTGTGTTTTTAAACTGCCAATTAAATTGACACAGTTATGCAAGTTTTTAATGATGCTGTAATCCAATTTAAGTGATTCATCCTAGCTGTTCCATGTTTACAGGAATTGCATGAACATGCATGTCAATCCTTTTAACATTCCAATTGACTTATCTCCCTTTTACAAATGATTGTAAATTGAAAAATTATCTCAATTTTGTCACTGTTTTTGTAAGACTGCTACTTTTGACCTCAAGCTAAGTTTAACCATAAATATTTTGACACCTTTGAGCAAAACCTCAGTG